TATATATTTATATATATATATATATATATATATATAACACAGATGCAATGAATTATATAACTGACAGTATCACTGTTGTGACTTCATAAACAAGGATGTGGTTTGGTCTTTTGTCCGTTTATATATGGTCTTGTACATCAACAATGCATGTTCACTTTTTTCCTTTTTACAGGTACTGGGAAACCCAATGGTTAATGCAAACAATCCTTTGAATCAAGCTGGAAACCCCATGGCATCTGGCATGAACAGCAATAGTGCTGGCATGAATTCTCCTCAGTTTGCTGGGCAACAGCAGCAATTTGCCACAAAGGGCGCATCCAGCCAGTCCTATATGCAACAAAGCATGTACGGACGCCCAAATTATCCAGGGGGAGGAGGATTCGCAGGAAGGTAAGAACCCAGATTTTACTGCTGAAATAGTGCACTAAGGTACAACTTTCAGATCTATTTCACAACACACTAGGTTAATGCTGATTACTTGTAAACATGAGATCTGTTCCTACTGGCCTTTTCTATTATTTTGATCATTTGTGTAGCCTTATTTGTGAATAGTGCTCAGTTATGTAATGTTGGATTATATAACATATATGCTCTTTTCTTGTCTTATTTTCATAAAAATGTAAGTAACCTGTCTTTTCCCAGCTATCCTGGTGGACCCAATAACCCCTCTGGAATGGGCATCCCATCTCATTCGCGACCACCTTCAGATTTCACTCAGCCAGCGGCGGCTGCTGCTGCAGCTGCTGTTGCTGCTGCAGCTGCTACTGCTACCGCTACAGCAACTGCCACAGTGGCAGCGCTGCAGGAAACCCAGAATAAGGACATGAACCAGTACGGCCCAGTGAGTCCTGTTTGCTGCTTGTTTTATGCTGTTTTTTTTCCTTCTGTATGTTGGTTATGAAAAACCTTGTATATGTATATTTGCTTGTGCGTTCACTTTCTTTAAAATAATAGAATAAATGTGTTAAGTTTGAGGTGAACTACTTCATCATTTCCTCTTCTAGTAGATATTATTCAAGTGAACTCAACTTTTTTAAGTATATAGAAGTATATAGAAGCTGACGTACCTAAAGTAACCTATGAATGTATTTCATGATGTTTGCTGTAGTTTTGCTGCAGATGTGTCCCACATTTATGGACTCCAGTGTCCATTGGCAACTGTCAAATACCATTGCTGCTCATCTTTGTCAGACATGCATGTTGCATTTTACTCTTTTCTCTTTCTTTTGTTGAAGGTGTGTTCCTCTTTCCAGATGGGTCCTGCTCAGGCCTACAACAGTCAGTTCATGAACCAGCCTGGCCAACGAGTGCCCTCTGCAATGTCAGGGAATATGAACCCATCTGGGATGGGTCCCAACATGGCACCTTCCAACATGAGTGGCCCACCAATGGGAATGAATCAACCCCGGCCTGGCATGAACCCTTTCAGCGCACATGGCCAAAGGATGCCTCAGCAAAGCTACCCTGGCCCTAGGCCTCAGTCATTGCCAATGCAGGGCATAAAAAGGCCGTACCCAGGAGAGGTGAGCAATGGAGGGTCCCCCATTGTTTGTATGTCTGATTGCAGAGTATCCATCTATAACATGGGAGCTGCAAGTTTGTATGTTACAATGATGTATAGTGACCTGCAATGTCTGTACAAGCTCAATGACATTTTCTCCTTCCAAATGCCGGATTTCCCAAAAGTGATATTTATGTAATAGTTACTTCTTATATCTCTTGTTGACTGCAAATGTGAGATCGTGGCTCCTGGTTCTGATCCTGTCTGCCGTGGAGTTTTATGAGTTTCATCACACATTTGATGCTGCCACATCTCCTATTGAATTCTCCATAATATGAAATATGTTAAGAATCCATCAGGAAGAGTCTGACCTCATGATGATTGTGGCAGGTGATCCAACATGGGAATTCATGTGCCAAGATCTCACTCTTTGACTCTTCTAGAGATATATTAGATCTTCTCCAAAACACAGACTTGTGTAAGGGTTTAAATGTAGGAAGTTTCTTGTGTTGTCTTTATCCAAAATAGTTTTTAAGGGAATTCGGCCCTCTCATTAATTGCAGTACCTTTGCAAAGGTCATGGGTAACCTTCTGTTAAGCTTTGCTCTTAAATTACCTTTTTTTTTTTTATGTATATACAAAAGGAGCAAAATAAGAAAAAAACAGTAACCTCCAATATGGTGAATCTACCTCAAAACCATATACAACCATATAAATAGTCAGTTCAGAATACCGTATTTCTCAAATTAATAAGTCAAGTGAATTTAGGGAAAATACGTTTCAGAAAATGTCATCTGAGAAACAATAGGAAATGTATTTATTATATTCACATATAATTTAAATGAACGTCCACTGGATCCCACAGAAACTGCACAAAATGGAAAGCCAGAGGACAGGCCGGCAATAATGCAATGGTTAAAAGACTTGCTGTTATAGATCTAAAAATGTTTCCGAGAACCTGTAATGTGGCAGCTAGAACAAAAACTGAAACTATCAAAAACTGTGTTGATGACCAAAGACCTCATCAACAAAAGTCCACCATGAAACCTTATACATTTGTGTAACATAGGAGCTGATGCTGCATAAGCCTGTATGCCCAGCTATCTGGGAAGATACCCCGTGGATTACAATATATCACTGATACTCCATTTTGCATAAAGGTCCCAGTCACATCATACCCAGTACGTTCCGGCACGGTTCCAGCCCAAAACGCACTGGATTGCATAAATCAAGCCAGGTCGTGTTCCAGGGCGTGGTGGTGCCATTCATGTCAATGGCACTGCAGACATGCCACCCGCCCAAATGTGTGATCGCCCGCACCGGAACATGTGGTACAGCAATGCTCTGCCACCCAGTGCAGTGCGATCAGAAAAAATAGTGCACTGGAACAGAGGGCATTCCAGTACCACATGTTCTGGTCCAGGCAATTGCACCGTGGGCAGGGGGTGTGTTGTTGATTGCACTTTGCTGAGTTTTGCGAAAAAAACACACACACATATATATATATCTCCACGGCTCTTATTTTGTGTCTTATATATTTATTTACATTGTATAGCTTTAATTCTGAGGTCTTGGATGCTTTGTTACTGACCAAGATAGAAATTCTCTGAAATGTGTTTTATGACGAGTTGTAACATGACATTTTGTGTTCATTTTTCAGCCAAATTATGGCAGCCAGCAATATGGACCAAGCAGTCAATTTCCCAGTCAGCCTGGACAGTACTCGAGTCCAAATCCTGCTAGACCCATGTCTTCTCCAAACTACCCAGGCCAGAGGATGACAGGACAGCAGAGCACAGGGCAGTACCCGCCCCCCAGTGTTGCCATTGGGCAGTATTACAAGGTAACTAACGGTTTGTGGAGTGTGGTCTGATTATGTTTTACATGACTGTTGGTAAGGAAGAATATGAAAGTATTACATTTGATTTGGTCCTCATACTTTAATTTTCATATGCAACACCCTTCTTATGTCTATTTTATATCCAAAGACCCAGGTTAATATTTTTGGTCTTTTTGTTCTTGAAATCCATGCAGTCAGTCCAGCCCTGTAGTGCTGCTAATACATCTACGATAAAGCAGACTCTGAACTGACACATCCCCATCTGCTGAGCCCTAGCAGACCTGTCACTGGTTGTCAAGTACGCTGGGCTGGGGGCGCAGGCTTCTAAGTTTCATGCGGTGACAAGCTATTGGGAGAAGGCTTTTACTTGTCACTGCAGAGAATATAGGGAAAGACTGACAGATTGTTTTAATGGCAACCTGGCACCTTTTCTCGGATCAGACATGTGATGAATTTATGTTTTATTATTTCCATATGTCTTGCTTACAAACCTTCTCACAGAAACAGTGCAGTTTAAACTCCCAGAAGTAAGATAATGAGCACATAAGAACTTTCACCCTCTATATACAGGCCCCCCACACACAGCCATTTTTCCACAACCATCCAACCTTTCCATATTGCAATTGATGGTACATACCTTTGCCCATTGCATGTGAGAATGATTCAGGGTTTTTGTACACAGAGGGCTTCGTCTGCACTATATTACATAAGTACTGGTCACCACATAGCAAATGGCCTGTTATATTTTATTTGGTGCTTATTCCAGCTGCCCATGTGCCTCTCTTTACTTCTGTGTGAAGTGCAGACAGCCATAAAGAGAACTCGGTGTAAATGGAATCCACACACTGAAAAAGTGCCTGTGTACACTAATCGTTACAGCGTGAGAGGGTTCTGCTTGTAGTAAATGAGGATTACTGGCATCAGTGTTTTGTACTCTGATTAATAGGGATCTCTCTCTTCCAGCTCAGCTTGCCCAAGACTGGTTTAATCCTGCAAATTCTATTAAAGGAAATTCCCACATTTTAGAAGAATTTAATGGCTTCTGCAACATTATAAATTCTTCAGTCTCTTTTGCCATATACAGGAACTTTGTAATAGTGCTTTGGGATACAACATGGGTTGTATGTTTTTACCCACTGAAGGAAGCCACAGTCAGCTGTTATATTATTTACCCTGGGATGTGTTATGGAAGATGTAGAATATGAAAGCCATATGCAATGGTGCATATTTTCCCCCTCACTAATAATATGCATATCATTGAAAGTGACCTATTCTGTTGCCTGGTAATCATCAAATAATCCCACCTGTGCATAATATATATTTATATCTCAGTATTGTACAGGCTCCTTCTCCTTAACAGTTCATCTCATATCTTACAATTTGCTAAGCTGCTTTTTGTTCTAGTATTTCTTTTCCTCATTATTTTTGTACATTTTTTTAATTCATGATTATTATTATTTTTCTAATAGCCAGAGCAGTTTAATGGACAAAATAACAACTTTTCTGGGAGCGGCTACAATAGCTATAGCCAAGGCAGTATGAACGGGGTGAGTGTGCCTTCATACCAAATCAATCATCCACTATTTTATCAGTTTGGGTGGCTAAGAGGGTGATTTCTGTTTCTTAAAACTTCTGAAGGAGCATGATCATTTTTTGTCATTTTGTTAGCATTACACATGACTGGATATCTCTTTATTGCACAGCAGAAAATAATTGCATTACATTTTTATTATGTCTGTTGTAAGTCTGCTCAAGAGTTGGCTGCATTGGTGGTTCCTCTCTCCCATAGAAAATTCAGATTGGTTGTTTTTAATAATCCTAATCTAGGAGCTGGCTGATCATGCGCTAATTACTTTGCCTGCTAGATTTTGTTTTCATACAGGTAGAGTTTAATGTGAACCTGTGCTCTGTCCATGCAGGGCACTATAATGTCCTCCTTCCCAGCTGCACATACCTTTTTGCTCTGCCATCAGGGGCCAAAGACAGGATGTCCTATGTAAGCTCCAGAAGAAGCCTACATGTGACCGATGACTCCCTCAGTCTCCATGTGGCAGCTCTGGGTTAATCAGCATGCTCAGGCGTGCCACATACTCCTCCTGACCTGTACCAGTACCTGAAGCTACGGGAAACAATTGTGCTGCTGGGGAGGGAGACATTACAGGAAACCTGTTCTATTGCCTTCCATGGCCAGAGCTCAGGTTATATATACAAACAAAGCTATCTTCCCATGAGAGAACATATGAAGGGCGCACCAGGGCCCAGACTATATCTCCCCAGATTGCAGCCAAACTGAATTTTCTGCTTTGTGTGCTGTTGAAATTTTCTGTTTTTACTGCTAATATTTTAAGAACGCTTAGAGTTTGTCTTACATTTCATTGACTAACCTAAGTTATTAAAGATGCAAGTTTTTAGGATTCCTTAGATCCCTTTGTCAGACTTTATACAATATATAAAGCATGAGAAGAGATCTAAGGGATTCCAAAAGCATGAATCTTTAATAACTTAAATGATCCAATAAAGGTTATGACTTAAACTCCAAATGTTCTGCACTAATCGATGACTAACACGGTACAATATTTTACAACTACTTGTAATATGAAATGTAATCTCTGTGGTAATGTTTACCTACTCTTCGGTTGGACACCCCGGTCCATACGCTTTTGAAGCTGCTCAAACCGTACAAGGAAACTCAACATATCTCCAATTTAACCCCTCAAGTGTAGCGCTGTATCCTGGCATGCTGTCCTTTTAACTTTCCAATGTTTACCTCTACTTCCTGCAGTATTTTCACAAATCATTTTTCAGAAAACCTTTTGCGGGTTTAACGGAGTAGTTTGTTTTTATGACAGTATGTATAAACAATTCTGGACCCTCAGCTCACATTGCATCACTTCATCAGAGGGTAAATCCCGGTCTCTTGACCCCAGTGTGGACTGGTGGGAGTCCTGCCTCTCTGAATCCATGCAATGTACTAAGAGTGCAAAATAGACCATGTCAAACTTGTCGCTGCTAGAGCAATTTTGGCACATATCTGCTGTGACGGGAAAGATCATTCTAAGTGATTTTACTCACTTGAAAGTGTAAATAGCTGTCCTTTTAATTTATGTTTTCATTGTTGTTAAAGATGATGTAGCTAATTGATATTTTCTATAGTGTGGATTACTGCTTTAGTATTTCCATGTACATTTTACCTTGTATACTGTAATTTGACTGGAAATGGGCTAAAATCCAAACCAGTCTTTCCTGAGCCTATCCCTAAAGTGGAACTCCAGCCAAAAATGGCTTTCTATGTTTAGATTTAGCATGAGGAAAGGTGAGACTCTTTCATATTTCTTATGGCTGCCTGTGCCCCAGCTGTAGATTCAAAGATGTGACTTCCCTCTCCCCTCCCTTTGGGGAGATTTTGTCTCACAGTTATGTCTGCTGGACATGAGGAGGAACAAGTCCTCAGTGGTCACTCAATGAGACATCAATAAAAACTTGACAGCGGCTCTAACTCTACCCTACTACATATATAACTAGAAGACACATTTTGGTTGGACCTAAACCTTGCCACACTGATTTTCTATATTCTGTGGCTGTCCTAATGGGAAGCTAAATCACATTCACAGACACAAATTACTAAGTCTGAGTGCTTGTGAAGTTACATACATAGTTACATAGTATTTGAGGTTGAATAAAGACATTAGTCCATCAAGTCCAACCTATTAGGATCTCATTCTAGGAGTACCTGTACCCCTGTATATTACGGTCCCTTAAGAAATCGTCCAAAAGTTTCTTGAACAATTCCACATCCTGGAAAACAATTCTCTTGGTGGCAATGGGGACAAGTTTGGAAAACACTAATCTAAATGTTAGAGTGAAAATCCTTCCCTGTTTCTTACTCTTCTATCTCTCCACCAGTCTGCTGCTTACTAGGACATTACATATTCAATATAATCTAAACTATAGTGACCAGTAGGATTTATGATAAGAATCATGATTGCTTGTTACCTGCTGTCTGTGTGCTTACCCTGCAGGCACTATACCAAAAACACACATATTGTCATTACAGTCATGCATAGCCAAAGCAAAATACACAACGTAACAACCATAATAAACAATAGCAGCCACAGAGTAGTGGGGAGGAAATGTAATCTTATGAAACCCAATTTACTGCATGCAGTATCTTACCTGAGCTGGCCTCGTAGACTTGTTACACTGTTACACTGTGTCAGACATGGGTGTCTATGGTGGATAATGTTAGGAGTTATGAAGGGATGTTGTAGTGATGTCTGGTTTATATTTGCATCAGGACACAGAGGAGTTTAGCTGTACCCCTGTGGATATACATCCCTGTGCTGAGAATAATGATTACAACTTTATTTATTTATATCAGTGCCATTATGAACAAGACACAGTAGTAGGTTGTTTCAGAGAATTCATGTTATCATGGGTCCTGACCAGCAGGGAAATCTGAAGCCAACTCTGTGTTTTATTATAAAATTGGATATTTGTATAACATAGTAATAGTGTATGTCAGACGCAATGTTCTCTTTTTATACATTATAACATGACAACAGATTGCAATAAGTAATAACATTTACTAAAGCTGTACTTATCATTGACTTCAGACCACAGAGTGCAGAGATGAATATGAGGCTGTCTAAGCCGATAATGCCATCATTTAAATACATTTTCTATTCCTTTCTTGTCTTTTGCAGCCCTCCAGACCGGGCCCTGTTGGAAATTACCCCCACTCACCTGTTCCGGGAAACCCCACACCACCCATGACACCTGGCAGCAGTATCCCTCCATACCTGTCCCCCAGTCAAGATGTCAAGCCTCCCTTTCCTCCAGACATCAAACCAAACATGAGCGCTTTACCTCCACCACCAAGTGAGTGTTTTGCTGAAACAGGATAATGGCAAAACATTTTTTTATGTTGGTTTGTAAGCTTTGCATGCAAATATGAGCAAATAATATAAACCTGGTATCATCTAGTGCTAATGTATGATACATGTGTGACAGATGGAAAGTAAGCCCCACAGCACTCCAAATTTATTTACTTTAGAAATATTTTTTGCCTGTAGTAAGGACAAGCCTCATCTCCTAAGTGCTACTATAAGGAGAGCGTCTCACCAGTTAGTGACAATGAAAGCCAATATAGGGCCCAAGGCTGAGAGAATTTTTTGGTCACCCCCTCTGCTTTGTTTAACCCTTTCGCTGCCAAGCCCTCCGGAACATTTTTCAAATCAGCTGGCCACACCATTTTTGCAATTTGTCCCATTGATTTGATTTTCAACTGCTGCGTTGCTAGTGTTTGTAAAAGACCCCCCAAACCATATATTTTCTGAAAGCGCAGGCCCGGTAGAATAAAAAGATGGTGATACTACATTTGTAGGCCCTGCAATAATTGCGCAAATGTTTCTCAAATTAATATTAAACCGATAAAAATACACAATTCAATGGTTAAAACACACCAAAATCACTATCAGTGCACAAAAAAAAAATATTTTCTGACTAAATCTAAAAGATAAAACTGTATTGAGTTAAAAAATAACAAATATTAGCAAATTTGTAATTGCGCCTTTTTGCGGAAAGGTAAAAAAATGAAGGTGTGCAAAACTGTAAATAAGCGACTTAGGTAAAAAATTGTTTTGGTGTGTGTGTTGTGATAAAATTATACAGGTGTATATTTAATTGCAACACAAGGTATCACAGCATTGGCAATGCGTCACAAAGCTTTGCCATGCGCTGCCGCAGTTAATTTAATGTTTTTTTTAAAGAAAAAAAATCATGCACTGCGATGCGTTCTAACAATGCACTGCAGCGCATGTGCATGGTTTGCACCACAATATGTGTATGTTATGTGGTGGGAGGGAGGGGTTGTGCCTTTTTTTTTTATTATTATTTTTTTACACTTTTTATTTAATTTTAAATAATTTTATTTTGTTTTTTACATTTTTGTTAACATATTTTTTATTTTTTATTTATTTTTTTACTGTTGGGGGGGGGCGGCTACGGTGAAATCTCTGGGGTCTAAACAGACCCCTGACATTTCCCTTTTGAAATAGAAATTGAGGACACCAAATCCTCAATGTCTTTTTCTGCAGCCTCAGCACTCAATGAATGGGAAGCACTCAGTACAGAGGCTTACCATTTCATTCATAACTGCTGATGGTTAAATATTTACTGTCAAGCAGTTTATGAATGGGGAGAAGCCTCTATATTGAGTGCTACTCCCCATTCAGAAATTCATGAATGAACAGGCTGTGATGTAAATCACAGCCTGTTCATTCATAACTGGGGACACACAGTACTATGGGGGTTATTCACAAAGCTGCCGAAGGATCTAGCCATAGCTTCGGCTGATCCTTCGGCTAGCTTCAGGCCCCATGGCCCCTTCAGTTCAGTAGAACCGAAGGGCTGCTGTACGGGCTATTCACTTGAGCCCGTACAGCTCACGAAGTTGGCCGAATGGCTCAGTCGAGCCGAAGGCATATGCTTTGGCTTGACTGAGCCGAGGTGAAAGCTGGAACGGCCGGCCGCCAACCTGCTACTGACAGGGTTCTCCGCCGGGTTCTCAGTGTGTAATGACAGTTCAACATCTCCTGGTAACAACGCACTGCAGCACATGTGCATATGGCGTACACGTCAATATGTGTATGTTATGTGGGGGAGGGAGGGGTTGTGCTTTTTTTTAATTAGTTTTTTTTGTACATTTTTTTTTTTTTACATTTTCTTTTTATTTTTTAATCTTTTTTTTATTTTTTTACTGTTGGGGGGGGCTGCGGTGAAATATCTGGGGTCTAAATAGAACCCTGACATTTCCCCTTTGAAATAGAAATTGAGGACTCAGAGTCCTCAATTTATTTTTCTGCAGCCCCAGCACTCAATGAATGGGAAGCACTCAGTACAGAGGCTTCCCATTCATTCACAAACTGATGATAGCAAAATATTTGCTATCACCAGTTTATGAATGGGGAGGAGCCTCTGTAGTGAGTGCTACTCCCCATTCATAAATTCTTGAATGAACAGGCTTTGATGCAAATCACAGCCTGTTCATTCATAACTGGGGACACATAGTACTATGTGTCCCCAGTTATTTACAAACACCATCACTCCAGTGTTTGCTCTGCACATAGGGATCGTTACATATCAATGATATTTAACGATCCCCCGTTTGGCCACGCTACACAGAGCCGCTGTCATCTGGAAACTGACAGGATGACATCGGCTCCAATCAGAGCACCGGTATTTTCGTTAATAGCCGCTGATGACGGCTATTAATTTGAAGGGGACAGTCCGGGGAACAGTTCTAGTATAAAGCAACCATGTGCTTATAGCAGAACTGTAAATTCCAGGTCCGTACGGCATAAGTCCTTGGCCAGCCAGGAACACTTTTGTTCCTCCGTACATGTCCTTGGCAGGGAAAGGGTTAAAGGCAATTTGCCTACTGCTTTGACTGCTGCAGGAGAAGCTTTCCTTGGCTCACCTAATGTCCACAGTTGGGATGCAGCATGATCCAGCTTTTTCTCAAGTTTCAACTTGCAGGCAGGAAAAGGTCAGTCTGTGACAGCCAGCTGATTGGATGCTGTAACTTCACCCAAATTCCCATTTTTCCCCCCAAGGTCATTGTACCTCTATGTACCTCTGTATGTTCCTCTATCAGGTATAATACTAGTGACCCCTTTTCAAGTGACTATTAGTTTTTGTCCAAATCATGGTTTGCCAAAAAAGTCTTGTGACCGAAATGTCTCTTGTACCGGGTGAAATAAGTCCCATGAACACTGGTCAGCAATAGTGCTGTCATAACTTTTTTTTTATTACTGCTTGCACATGATTTTGAAAGAAATGTTGTTCTCTGTACTGAGTTTTGCCCTAAAATGCAAAGGGATGCTGGGCAGGTTATTGTTAACATATTTAACCCCGTCTGTGCTAATCTCATTTTCAGTTGTAAATTAGATTTGAACAACATTTGTCCTAACAGAGGGTTAAAGGTCAAGAAGGATTGTATGTTAAAGAAGGGAAACTCAGTCTGTCCCTGGTCTTTATATTGGGACAGCCTGAGTTTCCATCCATGAAAATGTATTTTTAGGTATACTGTGTGAATAGGAAACATACTAAATAGTGGAGGTTTTCTTAAATTTGGCTGCAAAAGTGGAAATACACTTATCGTTCTGCTCCTATTAGTTCTTTGTGAGCACAGACTTCTATGTACATATGAGCTTCATAAAGGTTCTATCAGTTTTCCAGGTGCCTCATATAGCATTATTTATGTAATATTTGCAAGTTGTTTTGGGCTCCTAATGTTGCTGCATCAGTGACCCTTTGCTTACGCTTGTTTACATTGTCGCACTGCAGATGCAAAAGGGAAAGTTCACACTTTCTCTCCTTCTTCGATCTCAGCCAGCCACACTGATGAACTGCGTCTCACGTTTCCTGTGCGGGATGGAGTAGTATTGGAGCCCTTCCGATTGGAACACAACCTTGCCGTCAGCAATCATGTGTTCCACTTGCGACCGACCGTCCATCAGACCCTCATGTGGAGGTAAGTATTTTTTTATAAGTTAAACTAGCTGTGCTTATTGATTTAGTGTTAAGCAGGACTTTTAAAGGAAAATTATAGTGATTTTGGTCATTTATAATTTAAATTTGTTTTAAATGTTGATACCCGTATAAAATCCTTATTTTACAAATTAACATTTAATATGGGGTGCTTTGCTACAGTGTATGCTGTCTAATACCGTAAGAAAGCCCAGCAATAGCGCTGCGGTTGTTGACTCTGCCTGCATAACTGAGGAGAAGTATGTGTCCCTCCTCTGAGTTATTCAGCTGACTCATTCACCTTACAACACTGCAGTAAACCAGCTATCTGTAGCATTGGGGTACCAGACGCACACTTGCTGCTTACTGGTGACAAAAGGGGCAAATATGACATACCTGCCTAAAAAGAAAAACTGTTTACTCCCTCCAAAACATAATATTTAAATAAAAATATCTGTAGAATACCACTAAACATTCCCTTGAAATAACTAGAAAACTTAGGAGCAATTCTAATAATATGCTTTATAAACATTTTTCCATCCTGCTATCCTAAACAGGTCTGACCTGGAACTGCAATTTAAATGCTACCACCATGAAGACCGTCAGATGAACACCAATTGGCCGGCATCTGTACAAGTCAGCGTCAATGCCACCCCCCTTACCATTGAGCGGGGTGACAACAAGACTTCCCACAAACCTCTGCACCTCAAACATGTCTGCCAGCCAGGCCGCAACACCATCCAGATTACTGTCACTGCCTGTTGTTGTGTAAGTGTTACCTTCTCCATCCTCTGCTAAATCTGTGATAAATATTACTGTGGAAGTCATGTGTTGTAGTTACTGAAATCCTATTCTAAAGCTGATAACACAAGACTGTATATAAAGTGACATTGGCTTCGTCTTCTCTGATTTCCTATATGTAAACTAAAAAGAATACAGCATTCTGTTGTCAGTATTACCCAACATCTCCAAAATGTCACCGCATCTAGATAGCAGGTTTTAACCACTTCAAGACCAGGTGTTTAGACCCCCTTCCTGGCCAGGCCATTTTTCAGTATTCAGCGCTGCGATACTTTGACTGACGTTTATTCCATCATGCAACGCTGTACTGAAATGAATTTTATACCATTTTTTGGGGACAGATAGAGCTATTCTCTGCCACCGATGTATGGCATACGGCAGACCACAACCGCTTGCAGCTGGCCACATCAGTATGCCATACATCATTGGCTTTTACTCTCCTGCCACAAGATCATGGTCACTTTAGCGATCATGAACTTATACCAGAAGGGTTCTCCTGACTCTCCTCTGTAAAATAAAGCTGTCATTAGCGGCTGATAAACCGCTGATGACAGCCATTAACAAAATTATGGGCGGCCCCACTAGCACTGCCGCCGACAGCTGCTAGCAGCCATCACCTTCTCTTCCCCGCCTGGAGCCGCTCTATGCTTTTCGAATCCCCGCTGCTCTCCCCCACTTGTAAGGGCTGAGGCAGCTGGGATCCGAGCAGAAATGGACAGCTGCAGCTGACAGGAAGGGGGGCGCAGAAGAGGCAGCCGCTTATCAGGATAGCCGAGTGGTGTGCAGAGAGGAGCCGCGGGAAGGAGAGACACTGTGATCCTGTCAGTTTAAGGATGACCGCGTCCCTGTACATGACCGAGCAGGGGATCGGTAAATATCTGTGATATTTACCGATCCTCTGTGTACAGAGCAAACACGGGAGTGATCAGCTGATCACCCCAGTGTATGTAAACAACTGGGGACACATACTGTAGTACTATGTGTCCCCAGTTATAAATGAGCAGGAAGTGCTTTGTATCAGTTAATTTATGGGTTTTTTAATGGGGAGAAGCACTCAGTACAGAGGCTTCTACCCATTCAGAAACTGGATGATAGTAAATATTTTACGATCAACACTTTGTGAATGAATGGGAAGCCTCTGTACTGAGTGTTTTCCATTCATTTAGAACAGAGGCTGCAGAAAAAGAAATTGAGAACTCTGTGTCCTCAATTTCTTTTTCTATTTTAAAAGGGAAATGCCTGATATTTCCCAGAAGCCCCTCCCCCCCCCCACACAGATAACATGCACGTGCAATAGTGTGCACCATATTGTGGTATATGCCATGCACATGTGCTGCTGTGCGTTGTTAGAACCCATCGCAGTGCTTGATAAATAACATTAACTGTGAAGCACATTGTGAAGTGTTGTGACGATAGGCTGTGTTGCAATTAAATATACGCCTGTATCATTTTACCACACACAAACACCAGCACAGCGCACAAACACATTTTAACATAAGCTGCTTTTTTACAATTTTGTGTTCCTTTTTTTACCGTTTCGCAAAAAGGTGCAATTTGACATTTACAAATATTTCTTGTCAACTCAATACAGTTTTATCTTTTAGATTTAGTCAGAAAAGTATTTTTTGTAGAGGTGCACTGATACTGATTTTAGTGTGCTTTATTAATTCAATTGTGTGTTTTTTCAAGTCTAATATTTCTTTATTATTTCTGGATATGACAATAATGTTAAGACACTCTCACGGGAAGAAAACCGGTCAAAATCAACACACAAAAAAAAGAAAAATATTCATAGAACAGCCACCATAAATTTCCCGTTAGTGGTAAAACCATTCTTCCCCTTAAGGACCTCGGCTACAAAGAAAAAAAAAACCAAGAACCCCCAAACCCCTCCCAACCCTAAACCAAACCAAACAAAAAAGGACATTTCACAGTCTCATCTCCCCCCCTCCCCCGATGGTAAGCACAAAATAGCAATGTTAAGCTTTATTCATGGATTCCATGTCGCCATCAATTGTGGGTACCTAGCCTGAGATTGCGCTACTAACTCTTCCATGCTTCTTAAAAAGTTCATTTCTTTAACCCAGTCTTTAATTTGCGGGGTATCTTGGACCTCCAATATCTAGCTATTACTGTTCTTGCAGCAAATAAGAAAAATTGGAATAGGCCTTTCTTGGCTTCTTTAATTGGACCCGGTACAATAGTCAATAACGCAATCTCAGGTGTAAAAAGTCCCTGAAACTTAATAGGAGGTGCTAATTGTGTATTTTTATCGGATTAATATTGATTTGATAAACATTTGCGCAATTATCGCAACACCTACAAAATTAGTAGCACCATCTCTTTATTATAGGGATTTAAAACAATGGGAAACATTGCAAAAATGGTGTGGCCAGCTGAGGTGTAAAGCGTTCCGGAGGGCTTGGCAGCAAAAGGGTTAAATGGTATTTAGAAACAAAGTTCCAATTTCTGTAATCTTTTTCTGGAATGAGAAGAATGAAGTATGGCGCAAATCAGAACTACCTGAATTTGGTGCAGCAGTCAGTAAAGATGTTTTAGAATTTGGCGCAGGTTGCATTAATGGCAGAATTCTGGTGCAAACACACTATTGAATTCCTCTGCTAGTGTTCTAGAAATCCAATTTCTCCAATCACTTCACCTACATGCAGGCTCTGTGCAGGACATCACTACGGACACCTCGGGGCTTTTTAGCTTTATTTGAACTTTTCTTTGATCTTGGAATTGTCTCGTGTTCTCTTTTATGCTGAAATATTTTGCGTTTTTTTATATAAATAAAAAAATACTGCCCTTTCCTTTCTTTACCCTGATCACCCCCTTAGTGTTGTTGGTGCTTCCTTTGGGAAATAGATTTTATTTCTGGCCGCGGTTCCTGTAACAGCGATGCTGCCTTTTTGGGTTTTATAGATGTTATTTCATACTGATGTGATATTGTTATTCAGGCTGACTATAATGGATCTTTTTTCCCCCCCACAGTCACACTTGTTCGTGCTGCAGTTAGTACATCGGCCTTCAGTACGGTCAGTGCTCCAGGGTTTGCTGAAGAAGAGACTTCTGCCAGCAGAACATTGTATCACCAAAAGTAAGACTACTCTACTTGTATGTTTTACAATATAAGTGTCTAAGAAAGTGTTGTCATCATCACACAGGCCCTGGTGTACAAGTGTCAGGACTACCAAGGTGTATTTGAAAGCTGAACACATATAAATACACACAATAAATGGTACTTCCAGTTTCCTGATGCAGCTGCTAAGAAGCGTTTCTCATTGGTCAGTGTGGTCACGTGACCGCATTATTCAAAATGCCAGTGCCTTGTACGGATCGTACGCTGGCTGAAGTGGAGGTAACGGTGGTTGGTTCCCCCAAAGGTATGATGGGGGGGGCAGGGGGCAGAGAGCACCAATTTGTGGGGCTCATTTCAGTTTGGGACATTTGGTGGGAAACTAAAATTACCTTTTAATGTAGCTCTGTATTCATTATTAACTCATTAATTGTACTTTCTACAAATAGAACTAGTGTGAGTCCCTGAATTTGTGTTCAGACTGGAAGAGGGTTGGGAAGTGCTAGGAACCACATGCAAAAATGTTGACAAGTAACAAGCTCACAGGAGTAGAAAGATGACCTTGTCAGTCTGCTGCTCTTCACTGTACAGTGGGAATGTGGTGTCATCCTACTTGCTGTGTTATGTAGCGGTACTGTGTTAATCTCAGAACTGAATGGATAGAAATGAACATCCTTTGGCAGGTAAAACAGCCCCTTCTATGTATTTAGCGGTTTGCCTGCAGTGTAGGATTTATATACAAATATGGTTAATGTATTTAATGGCTTCCTCTGCAGCATATCTCTACAGCCAATGAAGAGCTGCATTCCTCAATTGATATTTCATGGCTGTGTCAAGTGCTGTGCAGGCTGACCCCGTTCCTAGATGTGCCATCACCTTGTGTCACTGCAGACATTTGTCCAGCCAAGAATATATAGGAGCTATGTGAACAAACTCTCATTCCTACCAAAAGGAAGAAATGTAGGAAAAAAATATAGTTTGCAGCAGTTGAAGTTCTCATGTGAAATGTCTACCACATGGGTCAGCAACCTTGGCATTCTAGCTGTGGGGAAACTACAAATCCCGCCATGCCTCTGGGAGTCGAGCCTGTCACTGTCAGTGTTGCAATGCCCCATGGGACTTGTAGTTTCACCACAGCTGGAATGCTGAGGTTGCCCACCTCTGGTCTACCATAAACCTCATGAGGTAATGTTTGAAGGAAGAAACTCTTCCTTGCAAGTAGTGACCAGTCTCCCACACTGCATTGCCGAACATGATTGGTTGCTGTGGGAAATGAGGTCAGCTCGGCCCCACAGTCGTAAGTCTCCATATAGCTGCTTCCTTTGACACACCGTTGTTTGTCTTTGCAGTAAAGAGGAATTTCAGCAGCGTGGCGGCATCGTCTGGTAATGCAGCACTAAATGGAGAGGACGGAGTAGAGCAGACGGCGATTAAAGTCTCACTGAAATGCCCGATCACATTCAGGCGGATCCAGCTGCCTGCACGGGGACATGACTGCAAACATGTACAGGTCAGTATATCACACCAGTCTCCTGCTTCCAAATAGTGGTGTCCAGACCTATCGTGACAAATCATCGTCATTTACATCACTTGTACTGTATTGTAAATCAAGTTTTCCCTCTTTGTGTACTCAGTGCTTCGACCTGGAATCCTATCTGCAGCTGAACTGTGAGCGGGGAACGTGGAGGTGTCCTGTATGCAAGTGAGTGCACAAATCTGATCAATGTAAAGAGATTATTTGAGGAAAAAGGTCTAGTCAGTAATTCTCTGTGTTCAGGCATATGGAGGTACTGAAACGATTCTGTGAAGTGATCCTCAGTTGGTCACTTCCACCTTCCACAATATTTGTCCCCCGAATTTTCTGTCTGTTATTTCACACCAAGTGACACGTCACCATTAAGTGTCTATCAGAAGTCTGCTCTTTCACTCCCATGCACTTCAAACATACATTCCTTCCATATCATCCTAGATGTTAGAGCAGTCGTAATATACAGCATTCCTAGATATAAATAACAGATGCCGGCCATGTGGAAAATAAACTATTTGTCGTGCTTTTAGCTTTTTTTAAAATATGTTATTGTTTTCTTTCAGTAAAACAGCCCTACTAGAAGGCCTGGAGGTGGACCAGTACATGTGGGGCATCCTGAATGCAATACAGAAGTAAGTGCCACTTTGGATATTCCAAAATGGTGTAAAATGATGCAGGGTGCATTCTTTACCGTTCCTGTACATGGTATGCAAACGCCATATTTTTTGTTTCACAGCTCAGAGTTTGAAGAAGTCACCATTGATCCCACGTGCAGTTGGCGGCCGGTAGCTATTAAATCAGAAATTCACATCAAGGAGGATCCTGATGGGATACCCTCCAAGAGGTTTAAGACTATGAGTCCCAGTCAGATGATCATGCCCAATGTTATGGAGATGATTGCAGCATTGGGGCCTGGCCCTTCACCATATCCATCTTTGCCCCCACCCCCTGGTGGAGGGAACTCCAATGAGTATGTTGGACAAGGTAAGACTTGCCTGTGTTCTGCAGATGACAGGATCCCTTCAACCACATGACCCAATTCAGAGCTGACTTTTCTTTAGTGTTTATTTTCTATAATGTGACTAGTATAGCTGTTGGCTGTGTGGGTTAAAGCAATGTTTGTAGTTGACAACAAATTTGTATTAGAGTATTAGAGCTGAACTCAGTGAGGCTGAGCAGTCCTCAGAAGCCAACAATGGCCTACCAAGACTCTAGTCAGTCTGATCCTGTCACTGCTCCAGCTGAGGTCAGGCCATAGGATACCGTAATTCTTTTCCTCTTTCGCTCTAGTTAATATATTCTTATTACTAGATATGCTATAGAATCATTTTTCTATGAAAAGCAGTTTATACTACAGCATGATGTCCCATAATAATTCTACATACGTACACATTTTCTTGCTTGTTTTCCAGTCTAAATCTGATTGTTGTCAGCACTCCAGTGTCCAGTAGGCTTATGATGCTTTGCCCAGTAATACCTGCAGAACCACAAGCAGTGGAATTAGTAAGACTCATTCTTTCATCTTCATTCATTCATTTGATTTTAGGTAACAATTATCAGGGTCATGGCAACTTTGACTTCCCTCATGGAGCGCCAGGTGGCACGTCAATGAACGACTTTATGCATGGGCCCCAGCTCTCGCACCCCCCTGACATGCCCGGAGGGATGTCTTCGCTGGACAAGCCACTCAGCCACCCCATGCAGGACTCTGTAAGTGGTGCTGGCGCTGTTTACAGTCCTTTTCAGGGTAACATTCTTATTTGACACATTTATTGAGAAAGGGTCATAAGTCTTTTCCTCTTTATTCTCCTTTGCAGATTCCTCATGTGGGAAATTCTGATCAGCCTCATGGCGCCATGCCTCAGGGCTTACACCCACCTCACCCAGGAAGCCAGCCTGGGCAGCCTTTACATCACGGTGGACCAGCACCTCAATCTCGACATCCACCACAAGCTGCTGGCCATGGGCATGGGGACATGGCCTTTAACCCTTCATCGGTATTAGAAGGTCAGCCTGGTGGACAGGGACCCCCTGATATGCCAGAGCCATCGCTGGATGTAAGTTTATTCATTATTTATCTATATATTGCATGAGCTATTGAGATGATCCTCTTTACGTGGGAAAATACAGTCTCATCTGGTACTCGGGTATCTGGGGCCACTGTGGCGCTTCTGTGACTCCATGACAGTAGATATGTCAAGACTGTCATTTGTATCTAATGTAAGAATGCAGTTTAATTGGACCCATAAATAGGACTTTGGAGAGTTTCTGTGGCATTTAAAGGTTTTACATATTTCTTTTCAATTACTACATCTAGTAATACTACAGCCATGTATTTCTACTACTTAAGGTGAAAAGCTTGTGCAGTTTAAACAGCAGTTGAGCATCTGTGGCATTACAAAGGTGCATAGGAGTATTTAGGCATGACCTCTGCTGTTCCACTATTTTATATTTCTATTATGTTATTTAAAAAGTTATATGGAGTGAGCTGATTTACAGTGAAGTAAACTACATTACATGGGGTGCTGCTGGCAGCGGTCATCCCTGTTAAGAAGGAAGCTGCTTTATCTTTTTCTTAAAGCCTCATTCACACTGCCGTGCATATATGCGCGTACTGTAACATATGCAGCATATGCAAATAAATGGCTCCATACACATAGCTGGGTATGGAGCCGTATATTTGCGTAGCGTAAAAAATGCGCAAAAACAGAATAGAACCGAGATGCGTCCAGGCAGCCTATTTCTGCTTATTTTACGCACATACCCGCGTACAGTTCATTAAAATTTCTATTACGAATGATGCATTCTGGGATTGCATATAGTGCACGTATATGCAATATACAATTGTGCTCTTGCGTTGTGTGTGAATGAGGCCTTAATGTCGGCTTATATCTGCAGGTGAAGTGGCCATAATAAAAGGGGCGATTAGAACTATTGGGAAATTCTGCAGCCTGTCACATTTCCTGTGAATGCAGTGCGGGTCTCCTGAGCTTCTGGGCTGCAATCACAAGAATCTCATGGACCACGGCGTACAGTATTTTGATACAACCACACAGAAGCATTATGCTAATGTCACACGGACATTTATTTTGCAGCAGGGAATTGTAGCAGCTACAGAATCCCTTTTCTTAGCCTTCTGGTGCTAGGAAGAAAACTAATTGCAGTCACTGAAAGGTTCATAGTGCTGATATTCCAAGTGACCGACTTTTTCCAGCATTTGAATCTAGCAGCAGAATCACCAGCTTTAGTTACTCATGTTCTCCAATGCAGCTGCCAGTGATCATGGCACACCAGTCATTCGTAGCTGTATATATAAGATTTGTAGCTGCTGCAAAATTGACCATATGATATCAGTCTGCACATAGGGAGCTAATGGTTGCTCTCTGCTGCTGATGCTGAATCATCAGATATACGCTGGGGCTATATCTCACTTGGAGGAGTCTCATACAACAACTAATAAACACTGCATGTCAGCTGAGAAAGAAAAAAGTGTGCCTGGTTGTTGCTAGCGCTAGGCACTATTGGCACATGCCCCAGGTCTCCTCCTCTGTGCTCCGAGTGAGCTATGCCCTGCACAACCACGTATCATGTCACCAGCCACTATGTTGGGACTGTTGCATAGCAGCAAAGTGTCCTGCTCCTCATCAGACCTCCTATCAAAGCGGTAGTGCGGAGCTGAGGCTCCACCTTGGCTCGGATATGTCATATGGGTCAGCCGAAGAGAAGCTTCCCTCACTCTGAGCTGGTGCTGCTTTGCATGAGGTCTGGTTATTGTTAAGGACAAAGATGTTTTTGGGGAGGGAGGTAAGATTTGTGCGGGGGGTAGGATTTTTGCTTGTGAAGGTGAGGGGTTTTGTAGGGGGTGGGGGATTTATGCTTGGGGATAGATATTCTGGAACTCTGTACATTACATACTCCTTACCCCTGAATTCTGTACATTACATACTGGAGACCCATGCCTGTGTGCATTAAATGCCACTGACCCCTACGCTCTATGCATTACATAGTACCGATGACTGCAATTTGTGCGTTGTGTACATTTAACCCCTACTGTCTGAACACTGGAATGTACATTACATACTCCTGACCCCTGTGCTCCACAGCCACGACCTCCCTCCCCATAGTGCGATCGGACACGTGGCAAAACATTGCTTGCATTCCGTTCCACTGCAAATGCAAAAAATGCTGCTTGCTCTATTTTTTGCGTTTACAGTGGAGTGGAACGCAGGCAATGTTTTCCCACGCATCCGATCGCACTGCGGACATGGGGGGGCGTGGCTGCGGTGCCATTGACTTCAATGCACCGTCACACCCCTTCCCACCCCAGAAAGCAGGGGGAAGTGTGAGGGATTGCGGTGCATTCCAGCAGCTACCGCTCTGGAATGCACCGCAATTGGTGTGAAAATAAGGTAAATGCTGCATATAAAGGTGAAGGGTGCAAACATTGCAGGTCTTTATTTCCACATGTTTTCACAACTCGGGGCACCATATTCATTACTTTGTTTCATGATAATAATTAACTCACATTGAGCCTTCCAAACTCTTCCTCCCTCTCTGACCTCTTGCCCATCAGTCTTTAGTTCAGTCTGGTTGGCCTCCCCCCTCTGGAATAAATCATTCTGGCTGCTTTGTTTCCCTGTTTCTGACATGTTGCAGAACTTTACTTTCACTTGCAAGCTGTTTCAATCAACAGAAATTAAGCTGGGAAGAGTAAGCAGTCAAGTCATTCCTATTTTCTCCTCTTGATATTTTGTAGTGTGACTGCTGGTCGCTGCCATGTACATGTTGGTCTACTGTCTCTCTAATGGAGAGGCCATGGCTTCTTCTTATTGAGTCACGCTGTCCTAATCACCTCCTCAATACATCTAGTTAGGTAATATCTAGCTATTCCAAGCAATGTTTCAGTAAAAATGAAGTACTGCGATCAGGTTACAAGTCTGTCTAAATAAGGCGCAACTCTGCCCAAAATGCATTTCTCCTTTTTGTGTGCATTGGAGCCAAGGGTTAGATTCACAGTTGTGGCTTTATTGTCTGTGACGGGGCAGCCAGTCTACTGCTAATAGAGGCCTGTGCTACCCTCTGTATATATTTCTATGAAGAATACAGAACACAGAAATTACCTCACACTTGAACTCTAGTGAACTCTCAGCAGTAATCTATTGGGAACCAATGACAGTTGGATGCTGAGCTCAGCCTGTCACAGGTTTACCATGTGTGGAATCAAATCACTTGGATGCTGTAAAAGCCCTGCAGTAAAATGAACCACCTTCTATAGCATGGTGGAGGAACTATCGCGTTTCCCCGAAAATAAGACACTGTCTTATATTTTTTTTTTTGGCTCAAAAAAACACACTAGGTCTTATTTATTTTATTTTTTTAAATGTACAACAAGCCACACTTATTCGTGTACAACAGTCTACATGTATTCATGTACACAAATATGGTGATCAGGGCGATCAGGGGTGCCGTACCTTTCCAAGAGCAATTTGCTAACCAATCACTGGCCAGAATGAGCGAAACGCGCTTTCACTATGGATTCCTCACAGGCGGAGTGCATGTGGTATCCCTCCGCCTGTGACAGGGCGGCTCTGCTCCCTCCGGTGCCGCCTCGCTTCCTCTAGCGCTGGCTTCGTTGGCACTGCTGATTCTCTCCCGCGGCTCTTCAAGTTCCCCCTTATGCCACCACCGGCCCTGGGAATGGTCACAACTAGGTCTTATTTTCGGGGTAGGTCTTATATTTTAGCAATTCCCAAAAATAGTAGTAGGTCTTATTTTGGGGTAGGTCTTACTTTCGGGGAAACAGGGTAGTATACTAGAGCCCCTCCATACTTCCCTGAGCTCAGATTTCTTTAGTCTGAGGAAAGTTGACAGCCTGCACCATGACTGAGGGCAGTCCAGACACTGTGTGTGTTTTCCCTAATGGGGCTGGTAAGAATGCATTAACTGCTCTAGTAATGGCTGAAAAGGTATTTTCAAGAGCAGCTCCAAATGTTTTTTTTCTGGTGGTTCTGGTCTGTTGATCTGATGGCTTCAACACCCAGAACGAATGCAGTTTCTGAGTTCATTTACTGCATGCTTCTACAGGAGATATTGAAGCTAAAGACTGCCGTTAGCATTTCTAGGAGGAGGGTAGCAATGCAGCCCACATATGTATCTTTACACAAAGTATAAACATGACCGGTACAGAGGCAGATGGAGAAGACTGCACTATGGAAGAAACATTTATTTATTTTTTAAATCAATTTTTGCCCTTCCCTCTACTACATCTTAATGGAGCAAACAGGAGGTAACATCAGTAAATAGTGTGGACGTCACACTAGATACAACAATCCTCTTATTTTTAGCCAGTTCCATTTTACCCAATGTTTAAACGTTGAAGAGATAGTAAAGACATAAATATGTGCGTGTTAAATGACGTCAAGCATAGTTATCCTGAATTTAGTAGTGGTGATGAGCAGTATACAGTATTAGTGACAAGTAGTTACAAACATTTAATGCATTTCTTCTGTTCTTTCTACAGCTGCTTCCAGAGTTAACTAACCCCGATGAGCTTCTATCCTACCTGGATCCTCCAGACCTCCCCAACAACAGCAATGATGACCTTCTCTCACTGTTTGAGAACAACTAAACTGCAGCTGTCTCCCCATTCCCCAGTCCATAATCCAACCAATCAGGACACACTACGGCAGGCACAATTCTAGGAAATCCACCCTTAGTCTATCTTGTCTAACCTTCCAGCAAGCTTGTGGCTGTGTTTGCCTCAGACTGATAGCACTATGAGTGACGCTCCAAGAAGGCAACAAGTGGCTTCAGACTGCCTGTAGACATCACACATGGTGCTTCCTGGTTTTCCCTCACCGAGGTTTATAAATGGAAAACTTAGAAAGCAAGGCTTTCACTAAGCAAGTCACCAAGAGGTAGTATCGGTGGTGGAGGTCCTAATAGACATGTATGGCACCTCCTGATGCCCAGTGCTATTCCCCTTTTCCCACACCACCACCAGTCTCACACCAGCTGGAGGAGAAGAACTGTACCGTGACCTCGGGAGAAAGATGGAACAAACACACGCACACAAAGCACAAAGTTCCCGAGCAGTGAGCAGGTTGGGCAGACATCTTGCTCACGCCACAAACAAGTGCTGAAATAGAGGACAGCTCTGCTGGGGATCTCCTGCGTCTTTTGTTTGTTGCTGGGGTACACTTTCTCCTGTTTTTATTGTGGCATTTTTAAAGACGTCTCCCGGGCCTTTAATCATACGTATTTTCCTTAGTGCACAGACTTGCACAAAGACCATGGAACCTAAGGGACAAAATGGCCTGATCGTTTTCATTTCTTTTTTATCTTTTTATTTAGGCTGCAAAAAAAGGGGCATTGATGTTGGTTAAAGACAAAGCAGCTTAAGGGTTATGTTTTTGTTGTTAATTATTTTGCTTAACCCAACGAGACTGTTACACAATAACTGGTCTTTTTTACCTACCTGGAGATCATTTCCCTTTTAATATAAACCCACATAAACAAAAACGTGTGTTATTTGTGCAATCTTCTTTCCCAACCACCTTGTGGTCAAGGTACCTTTTAGAGGTGTGGGGTGGGGGTCTAAATGCATGAATCTGACCCGGTTTCTGTGCTTCTGGTGTGTTAATGCTGCTTGCTTCTGTAAAACTGTTGTTATATTTGTACAGAAGTGCATGTGTGCCAATCAATGTTATTTACTTTGTCCTTGTTCACGTTTCCACCGCTTTTCTCCTTTGCTGGCCTGTTATGTAAGTAAAAGAGTTAACAAGCGCCCCACAGACCACTTTAGCATTATGAGGATCAGAGGCAGACATTTCCGATTGGCTGTTTGGAAGCACCTCCTCCTCTCTTGCTCATTCTGTATGTGTGCGTCTCCCAGCTATGACATCATGTCCTTTTACATATTGATTTTTTTTTTGTCCTGTTTATTTTGCTTGTACAGATATGACTGACACACCAAACAATTCTATTTTGTTGGCTTTTGCTTTCTTTTTCTATCACCAAAGTTGTATTTTGTACATTTTTTATTTAACG